GGGTGTGTTTGTGATTATCACTCTGCACAACAGATCATGTGGACTGAGGGATGGTATGAAGTTCATAAATGGTTGTAAATGGACCATAAAGTTATTTTTTCAGCACCATCGTAACTTTGAACAGTCACTGAACAAATGGTCGGTAGGCGAGGACTACCTGTACTTCTACTTTTTGTTCTGTTAATTAGTTTGACATAATAGAATATAAAAAGGTGGCTCCACATAGAATGTTCTACAGTAGTTCAGTTGGACTATAACTCAGGTCTGTATCATTGTGGACATGTCATATCTGCCAGTAAGTGCCAAATCCAGCCCAAGTTAATTCTTTCTTGATCTATCTTTTGACTGATCTGGAATATCACTGCATTGTCTACAATTTGTATGCTATCATCTAATTTTTTACCAACGCTGGATATAGTTTTTGAATTTAAACAGCTTACAGGTAGTCTTCAGCGACCATTCGAGATTATGATGATGCTAAAAAAATAACTTCACAACTGACACCTGCATTTATAACCTTCACAGTGTCCCTCAGTCATGTGATCTCCATTGCAATCAGTACACGTCCTGTGCCTACCCTGTTGTTTTTCTTTTTTTTTTTCCCCCTTGCAGAGAGGAGAGATTGGAAAGGAAGGGATTACAAGAGAGTAAGCAGGTGCACAATGGGGAATACACATTGAAAGGGGTGTGGTGGCTTTGCTTTCCACAAGCAGCCTGGTGTGTTTCCCATTGTGTGCCTGCTTAATTTTTTGTAATCCCATCCTCTCCAGTGAATGTACTGTAAGTACAAACATTCATTCCCTTCTTGGTAATTATCCCAGCACCAGGGTGAACATTCCAAAGGGCAGGGGAGTGCAGAAAAAGGAAAGCTGAAGTAAAATTGTAAGCACAGTCACGGTCACATGATTCTCCACTTAGCAACTGCTTTGCTTAACTGCCAATCCCAATTGTTGTAGCTAAGCAAGGACTACCTGTACTTATATTTTGATGGAAGAGGTATATAGTTGGATATCATCAGCACATCGGTGTTATCAACCCTCTTTCCCAATTGTATTCTTTCCCAGCTTGATTTCTTCCAGACTATCAATCCCATTGTCTTTAGGAACAGGACTCATACGTGCATCAATTGGGAATCCTTTGGGAAGAACAACAGAATATTCATCATTGTTGTCATCATCGTCTGGGTGGAGCTGTACATCTGAAAGCAACTGAAGCTATGCTTCATATAAACTCTATGTATGTGTGTGTGTATGTATACATGCACACACATACATGCATACACACAGACACACACAGATAGAGGTGGCTGCTTTCTGTAACTCAAGTGCTATATTAAAAAGAATTGTTTTTGTAGATATTGAGTACTCCTGAGAAGCCATTCTTTCCATTCTCTAGTAGGAATAAGTTGGCCAATTTTAAACCTCTTTGTTCATTTAAATTCCTTGGGAAAAGTTTCAATGTTCTTTTCCTTACTCCTGATGCATCATTTCCTTTAAAATCTAATCCTTGTTTATTTGGCTGTAAAAATCATGTAGACTGGATTTTCAAAGTGAATGCTGTGTCACTGAATTGTTTACTCTCTGCATATTTATTATGGGGAGTTCTTTTGGCAGTAGAACAGTTCATTACCAATTTCTCAGCTGTTAAAGACATATGGGACCCTTTTATGTAAAACTTTGGTTGGAAGCTGAAAATATAATTGATCCCTTGCCGCTTGCATGAGAGTTACATAGCCTTTTGAAAGAATAGAAATATTTTCATGATGGAAAAACACATTTTTATAAAAGAATCAAAAAAGTCAAGAAGCTTCCTTACATATCAGGTCACACTATTATCTATATAGTCTAAGGTTGTCTCAGACAAGCTTTTTTTAACTAGAATTACCAGGATGTGAAGTGGGACCTTGTCCTGAGCTACAATTCTCTTTTCATTTATCTTTAATTCATCTCCATTTGATGTTGTCAGATGTAAAGTCTAAGGAATTGGTTGAATTCTATGATTCAGATTTCTCTGCCTCCTTGGCCTTCCCCAAAGTAGTTCTCTCCAGATATTTTGGACTTCTGTATCGACAGTCCTCAGCTAATATGGCCCAGCCTGGTACTATAAAGTCTAGCACATCCAAGTAGCACCAGACTGGGGGATCCTGTATTATATTTTGTTTGTATCAAGCATAAATTACTTTTAATGAGTTTCATTTCCTCAATATATTTCACTTTTTTTTCCTAATATATGGAAGGCATTAAAATTCTCCTTCCCCCATTTTTTTTCTTTTTTCTTTGTAAAGATTTACTTGATTCTGATCTCTTAGGATTTCTTGCCAACTCTGAGGAAAGTAAGGCATGTAGGTCCTATATGAATGGAAAGATAATATCTTGTGATACTGGACAATTTCTAACCAGTCTCCAAACTTCTCTTTTTTAGGGAAGATTTTATTTATTTTTATGTATTTATTTAAATAATTTGTGTGGTTGCCCATCTCAAAACAGTGACTCTAGGCACCATACAAAAGTTAAAACAACAAACAACTGTCCCAATCATAAAATCACATCAACAGCAGAGCTCACCTAGCCTCCTGCCCCAAACACCAGGGGAAACAGCCAGATTTTCAGAGCCTTACAAAAGGCTAGCAGGGTTGGAGCCATCTGGATCTCTAGGGGGATGGTGTTCTACAGGACACGCAGCACCACAGAGAAGACACAAATCCTAGATCCAACAAGATGACATTGTTTAATAGAGGGGATCTGGAACATGCCTCCTCTGCTAGACCTGATGGGGCCAGCAGAAACAATGGGACAGAGGCAGTCTTAAAAGTAGCCTGTCCCTAGGCCATGTTGGGCTTTATAGGTGACAACTAGCCTCTGGAATCATGCCTGGAAGCCTACTGGGAGCCAGTACAGCTTGTGGAGTAGCAGTGTTATATGAATGTGGTGAGTAATGCCAAAACTGCCCACACTTCTGCATTCTGGACTAGCTGCAGCTTCTGAATGCTCCATTACCAGATCACATCACAACAGCCCCAAGACAAAATTGAGATCTAATTTGCGACTACCAATATACATCAAGCCCTCAATTACTTGGGACAGGTCCATGGTTACCATGGAGACCAAAACTGCTGAGCTGCCTTGGACTCAAGCCATATTGTTTCATTTCTCCAACTTTGGCATTCCAATCATGCATCAGTGGTACTGTGTCCTTTCATATAGCAACTCTTGCAATTTTACACTAAATTTTTCACTACATCTGTAATAGGAGCATACAGTTGTACAGTGTTGATGTTTCAGAATATTTTTAATTCTAATAGATAAGTTCTTGTGGTTATTGGGTCATAGCTAAGCACATCGCAATGTCACAATTTCATGTGGTTCACTGCTTTTCACATTCCATTCCATGTTTTCATTTAGAGTACCAATTCTAATATCCTTGTAAAGGAAGGAAACCTGTTTTAATACTGTCAGGGTCAATAACCACATTTGCATGTGGCATTGGTCTGGTTGTGTTATGACATCTGGATCTACTAGTGAAATTACAGCTTTCTTCCTAAATAGCACTGATCACGGTGTTTTTCAACCTGGGATCATATCATCTGACACCCAAACTGATGTAAATGTTTCAGCTGTGCCCATATTATTTTTATGGCATCAGAAGAGAAGTGATTTGTTGTTCCCTTTCAGGTTTAATGTTGGGATTGCATCTGTTAAGGAGTTGTCTTCCTAACGCATAGAGCCCTAAATGTTCTTTTCTCCATTATGGATTACTCTTAATTTCTACTCTCCCATTTTGATTTTATCAGCAAGGGGAAGCCTGAGAGATGTTTCCACTCCCACCACCAAAGTTCTTAAGGTCATTGGAGCCACTGAACTATCTCCCACCATGTCAAGGTGGTCTTTCTCCAGAAGGAAGATGCAGATAGTCCAGTCTTTAAAACAGTGATATAGCCAGAGATTATATTGGAAACATTTGCTAAAAATTCAGGAGTGCTAATTTTTTTCATTAAATGAATGGGAAAGGTTATACAAAATGAAGATACTGGACAGAACATAATCTGAATAATATGAAAGGCTTTCTAAAATGCTAATTGCATGGGGATTAAAGTGAGATGAAGAGGTTGGGGAAAAGTTTAAGGCGACAATTACTCAACAGAAAGAAGGGCAGAAGGCACAATTGTGTGTGTGTGTTTTTATCAATTTCTTGTTTTTCTATTTCTTATTTTCTAACTTTGTTGTCATTTGTTTTATATATTTTATTACATTGAAAATTTCTAATAAAATAAAAAACTAAAATGCTAATTTCACATCTGGGTTTAAAGCCATTTTCATATTCTGAACATATTCAACATAATTTGAGCCGCCCAGAGTCACCCGTTGGGGGGAGATGGGCAGCATACAAATTTATTAATAAATAAATAAATAAATAATTTCTTTGATTCAGATAATATGGTAAACTATGTTTATTCAAGTCTGGGAGGGAAAGTGAATCCATTAGAGGAAGATGAGGCGTGCCTAAATCATACTACTCTAACCTTTGGAGGAACTGAAATGTGTTGCCTAACTACAGTCTGTCATCTCCAATGAAAACATTGTGTGATCTGAAACGTCCATAGCAAAGGTGCACTTTAATGCTGTCTTGTTTTTAAAGGCCATACGGTGATATTCTACTTGTAAGGGCCTTGAAGTGGGACATTTTGCACTTCATAACCCACTGCTGGAAACCTTTCTTGACCGTTGATTGGTTTACATGGAAAAGTAGAGCTCATGAAGTTTTGATGTGCTCAGAAAGGAGATGTTGCCGTAACATGAATATAAAGCATGTTTATTTCATGCAGTACATCTGCTTAGATGAAGCTTAATTTTTTAAACAGATAACCTCATCTAAAGCATGTTTTTGCAGCTCTGCTGACCAATGGAGTTTAGCTACTTTCCGGTATGTAATGTATGTCTATATGATCATCTTCCATCTGAAATTAACTTTATGTTTTAAACTTTTCCTCCACAGCTTCCAGTTATGGGAGGAGTGTTTATGGACTCACCCAATGAGGAATTTAGCACGGAATATTCTTTGTTTAATTCATCTGCCAATGTCTACACTGCCACCTCAGTGCCAAACCAGCCAGAAGAGACATCCCGTTCTTCAAATGATGCCATTTTGTTATGGATTGCAATTATAGCCACAATTGGGAACATTGTAGTTGTTGGAGTTGTGTATGCCTTTACATTCTGAGAAGAAAGAGGACAGCCCTGGGAAACAGAGTTGCTTTGCCATCATTCCTAACAGCAGGTGTATGTGTGTATATATGTAGATTATATGTGCATACCTATATAAAAATGTAAATCTTTATAAATATCAGTAGGTAGATATAATTTCTTATCTAAGGACCCAATTAAGAGCAGGTGCCAAACAAAACCACCAAAACACCCTTTACAAAAAGATTTTTGTAAAATATGGGGATGAAACATAATTTATAGCATAACCAATTAAATATGAATTTAACATGAAAGGTAAGTGGACATAAAAGGAAAAGCAGAATTATTCAGCAAGGGCTCTATTGTGAATCTGTTGGTTATCTAAACAACCATTGGATTAAACACTGGACACATCTTTTCTTTTTTTTTAGTGTAAGCACTCCACTTCTTACTTTCTGTGGCAATCTAATTTTCTTGCTCTCTAAAGGCAAAGAATATATGAGATTTCAGCCTTTGGGGAGTGTTGGAGTTTTTTCTATGTATTTTTAAGCATATTAATTCTGTATTAGGGCTAAGATATGGGTGTTTTCCACTTTAAAATGGTAGGAAACTAAACTACTGAATTTTGACTATCACAATTGGAATGGGCTTGGGGGGCTTGGGAAAAAGAAGTTTAGGGGCCACCAATTACAACCCCAAAAGCCATCTCCCCTGCTGACACATAGAGGCTATTGTGCAAACTGATGTGCACCAATATTTCTTATGACTAAGATCAATATTGGAAGTATTTTATAGCTGTATGCTATAAAATCTGTTTCTTCTTTTGCCAATTTTATGGAGATGCATTTTAAAATGGATTTGTTTTTGTTCTTTTTAAGGAATTATTTTTACATCAATGTATTTATGTGTTATTTTTAGTTTCCTTTATAACATAATGGGTCTTTTTTGTTTATTTAATAAATTTATAACCTGTCTTTCCTCCAGGAATTTAAGGATACCCTTTCTCCAATTTTTTACCACAACAGCCCTGTGAGATAAGTTAACTGAGAATGAGCAACTGGCCTGAAGTTACCTAATAAGTTGCTATTGAAGGACTTGAACCTGGGTGTCCCTGGTCCTAGTCCAACACTGGCTGTCACCATATCATTTGAGGTACAGAAGGTTTCCCCTTTCCCTTCATATGGTCTCATATTTCATATCATATGTAAGTAGAGAAATAGTCATTGTCTGTTAAGGTTGTGCAAAGTATTTGAAAGGATGCTTGTGGAGCTCACTGACACCTCCTTGAAGTGATGAGGCAGTCTTCTTCTATGGAAGGCTTGGCCAAGCTGTTTCAAAGTTTTTTCCAGATCATTTCAGTATGTATATTCTGTTTGTGCACTAGGCAATAACCATCAGTAAGAAAATTCATGAGCTCTGCTCTCTCTTCTGATGAGTCATTTCTTTTTTAACTGATATTGGACTGGATAGTCCTTAAAACAGAAGATGACCCTCCAAAAGTAGGACATGTGGTCATCATAATGTTGCCATTTTTCCCAGGGATTTTAGCAAGTTCTGGCTACTTACATGCAAAATGAATTTCCCCAATTTCCTCGCTTTAAAACAGGAACAAAAAGTAACTGAAGTTAATTTCACATTCCCTAAATGTTTTTCAAGAACATTTCCAACTTATTCCAATTCAATAATTAGATTAATTAGATATTTGTTGCCTTTCCAGCAGCTCTGTAAAATGTCCATAGGTCTGCCATATCTTGCAATGCAGTCCTACTTTTGCCTGTGCACTGAAGCAGCAAACCATTTCTGCATGGATTACAGCAAATTATACTCTTTTTCCTCCCAGCTGGTCCATCTTTATGACTTTGCCAGCATGTTTCGCTCAGATTAATTTGTAGTTTTTATCCAAGTCCAGTCAGCAGTATTTCGTTCCTCAAAGGATCAGTCCAAGTTTGAAATATCCTGAATGGATAAAGAAAAGACTAGAACTAATGGGAGGTTTGGCATAGAATTTTTGTAATTTTATAAACATATGCAATTATTCCAGAAAACAAGTTTCATCTCCACATGGTCTCATGAAAATTGGTTACAATAATTGTCTCTTGAGTCAGTGTTGAAAAAATAGTTGAATTTCAGATTTCCAAATCCCAGTGGCCAATAATGGTCTATGTTTTCCCTATGCTGTGGTGGAATTGCTGGTTCTCATTATTCTGTGAATTTTAGTTGCTGCTCCAAAAATGTCTGGACCCAGAGTTCTGTTTGCAGAAGAGAGAGAAACTGATTTTCTTATCTCTTCTCTTCCTGATCACATTGTCTGTCCAGGTTCCTCAAAAGCATCACTCTCTGAGAGTTGTGGAATCTGGCTGGGTGGGATGAATTGAGGCAGAGGAGTAGATATATCAACTTTAAAGTTTAAATGGAGATTAAAGAAATGAACATTTGTAAAGGCTTTTTCTTGAGAAATCCAAGCTGACCTCTGGTAATTACCACAGGTCAATTTTTTAATAAATATGTAATTGTTCATCAGTAATTCTACAATACAGAATAGAAAGATGACAGCATGTCAAAAATAATTATTTGTAATCGACTTTGCTGTGAGGAGACCAGAACTGTACTGCAGATACATGATTGCATCCCTTGTGTCAACTCTTGCTCAAGAAGAACACAATTTTTTAATTTTAAAATCATAGTGATGAGATTGCTACCCTATCTAGTTCTCACAGAACTATGGAGATGAAAAGGATGCCCTCTTTTGCAACCCCTAGCCCAGTGCAAAAATCTTGTTACTACAGTGCCCTAATAAATAGCCATCTAACTTCTGATTAAATACCTCTAGTAAGGAATAATCCATCATTTCTTAATGCAGACTGTTTAGCTGATGCAATGAAGAAGCTTAACCCAAATCTCCTACCCTGCATTTTCCATTAATTCTAGTTCTGTTCTCTACAACACCAAGTCTAGTTTCAACCTGGACAGATCCATTTTTCATAAATGTTTTAAAATCATGGTGTCTTCTTTGTGCTTAAGACTGTGCTACGTGGTGCTTGCAGTCAATAAAAGTACATTCTTCTTTGAGTTGAGCTTGATGCCGGGTGGCTTCGTAGGCACATCTTTGTATTTTTTGGCAACAATACAGAAGTAGTTTTGCCCTTGCCAGCTGAGGCTAGGTCACTGCCCTCTTCAGACATTCCTGGTAGCAATTGCAAGCTTAATTCATTTGTTTTATAAAACTATATGAATTCATTTTAAAAAGAAAGAAACATCATACATTACTTTGGAAACCTCACTAATATAAATGAGAACCATTTGTTTTGATAGCTGTGAACAGGTGGTGTGTGATGTAACGAACTGCTTGCTGCTTTGCATTTTCTAACTGAGCTTGACAACAACTTTAGAATCACAGCTGTTTATAAAGATGCATCTTGTATACAAAGTTGTCAAGTTCTGTGTTAACAATTTTGATGTAAATTTATAATGTGGGTAGTTCTATAGTAGGTGAATAGATCATTTGTTTATACTAAAACTACTTTGCAAGACTGTGTGTGTATTCTCTCTTACTGTTCTTTTGCAATCTGCTGGAAATCATTTACATGTTTATGAAGCTTCACACAACATGCCACTGTTTTGCAAAACATACCCTTCCTGCTTTTCTTAAGTATTTTAAGGCAACAGTCTTTCAGCAACGTAGAGGAATCCTAAAATCTATATTGTGGTATGCTGTGAAATGAAAACTCTGGCACTGGTTTTGCTAGAAGCCTGGCATCTTCGTAGGGCCAATGTTAAACTCTTTGCCTTTAGTGGTTTTTAAAGGACGTCAATAAGACCCAAGTGACTGGGTACTGAAACTGCCATTTAAATTTTTCATGAGAACCTGGTTGTAGCATTACACCAAGGTACTCTATTTAATTAAAATGATGTCTCCAAGTCTCAGCTAATTGGAGCACTGCACTGCCATTGTCAAAAAGCCCATCAGGAGATAAAGCATTTCACTGCCATTGTCAAGTATAGGCCCAACAGGGGGACCAAGTCAGAGGCTCCTCACACTTGCCATGGACTCAAGCCTTATTACTGAACTTGAAGTAAGGCAGGTAGGAGGATATCTATGAATAAACGGTGAGTGAAATTGGAGATGAGTGAGAAATTGGGCTTGGACAGGTGTAGAAATTATCTAGGATAAGGAAAGCAGAGGGATATAACAGGAATAAAAATTAAACCCAAATAAACCCTACTGTCCATAGTTGGTTTGCTAACATAAAATTTAACACGCAAGTTCCAGGCTTCCCAGGTTAAGTTGGAAGGGGCTTCTAACATTTGCTTTATCTGAGTTCTGTGATAGGGTTCCTGATTGTGCAGAGAAATCTGTTCTCCTTAAGCCAGACACTTTGTTTTAAACCTGCCTGATTCAAAGACTCAGAATTGAGTGGTCAAAACTGGAAATAATGAAGGCCAACAATTATGTTCTATCCTAAATACTTTCTTAGCTCAGGTAAACAGGTTGTATGCCTGCATGACACTAGGAAAAAGGTATGAGGCCAGGAGCTACAGAACTGAGTAAAGCTGAAGTTTACATATTGATAATTAGTAGAGTAATATATAATTAATAGATTATCATAATCTTAATTGACAAGATTATGATAAATTCATAATCTTTGATGAACTCATTCTTTATATGTCCTTGTTTTAAACGTACTATCTTATACTAGTTGGTTCTTTTGGAAACACCATCAGTTGTACAATTTTTCTTATGTAAATTGGTCTACTGAAACTTTTATTCTTGTAAGATATTCTTGCTAGATGGGGGTTCTGAACAGAGGCGAAAAAATCCAAATGTTTTGTTTCTACTTGAGTTTTGCAAAACAACTTGTATATTTATGACTGATTTAAGTAAATGGTACTATGATGCTTCTTCTTTATAATCTTCACTATTGATGTAATTATTGTTATTAACTGGGTAGGGTGGAGATGCCTTTGTTAAACACATATTTGTGCTTTAAAAGAACCATATATTAAAGTAATGTTTGCAAATGTTAATATGGTACTTTTCTTTTACTCATGAAAAAGGGTTGGATATGTT